TGTAACACGGGGTCCCGCAAAACGTCGAGAATGGCTTGGAAGTAGTCTGAACGCAATGGACCTCGCCGTCGCGATGTTGTCGCCTGTTACCATGCGCACGACAATGCCTGCTTCGTTGCACTGGCGGATCGATTCGGGCACTTCTTCGCGCACGGGGTCTTCGATCCCGACGATGCAGATATACGTGAGGTCCCTTTCGACATCTTCATCGGGCCACGTCTTGACTGCATCGGACGATGCGTCCATATCTCGGAACGCCAGGCACAGCGTGCGGTACGCCTGCGACGTGTACTTGTCGATGATGTTGGCGTTGCGCTCGGCGGCGGAGAACGCGACCGTGGATCCGTCCAAGTGGAGCTGCGACGTGCACAGCTCCAACCCTTGGTGAAGATGCGGCATCTCGTCGCGGAGAGCGACACGACCACCGACATGCGCTTCTTGGCGCTGCTGAACGTAAACATGTGGCAGATAGACGCCGCCTTGCGCACGTGGTTCTTCGAAGAGTCACTTTGCCACGCCTGCTTCGCATTGTGTGAGGCGAACGATGGCGACGCTTGCGCGTACCAATTCGTGTCGTCCACGGTATACGTGACTTTATGGTTGCCGATCACCGGCTGGACAAGAGGTTATTTTTAATATATTTTGCCCTGCTTCGGCGAATCAAAACAGCTACACAAGTACCACACACTCCTTTACAACTTGAAGTGAAAAAGTATTTCTAGATCTACAACAACCCTCTTCATACAATTTTTTTGTTCCATATAACCTGGAGTACCACTCTGTCGAGTTTTTATCAAGTGACTGTATATTTTAGGTACGCTTGAGATATCTCGATGACAAGAGACGGGATCACAGTGGAAATCAAACCAAGCCAAGACCTTCATGGTTCCATGTTCCTACTAATGAGGAGTCTTCAAATCGTTCATTCGGCGAATGACTGCTGTTTTGGGAATACCAGATTTGGCCACCATGTCGTATAACGTCTGGCGGACGTTGTAAGATAAAACCTTGATGGCGAGCTCGATGTCCATCGACGATCGCTCAGAGACTCGTCTTGAGTTGTCTAAGATGGATAACCTTGTTAATTGACATTTATCGAATACAATATTTGTCGGTGGTAATAATTCAAATGAAAGGTATAACCTTTGAATTTCGACGAAAGTTCGGCCAACATGCCCCCCGGCACGAAGTGAGAGTTGTCCACGTGCCCACACACGCGACACAGTAGGTATATGACTCTAGAATTGCTCAGCAATCTCAGACATAGTCCCGTGAGGGGTCTTGACGCTCGTGATCCTTGAGAGGAGCTCATGGTTGATGGTAGTACGCTCGTTGTTGTTGAGCTCCGCTATGAGTAGTGTCCCAGGGAAGTAGCGTTTAAAATTGGTGTTGGCATGGCTGGACAGAAGTGTGCAATTGATTATGGTTCCTACTCCCCATTATGGATTGAGATTTGAACCCTAAGGGGGTAATTATGTGTGCGTTGCAAAGAGATACTGTCTTCGCGCCTTCGTAACCTGTGAATAAAGATGATCTGGAAAGCTCAAAACACGGCCAACCAAAGCTAAGATCTTGCTGT